ATGTACACACTATCTTTGCCTTAACCATCCGACACCGGTACATTTTATTTGCATACAACAAACCGTGCATCAGCTACTCCTCTAATTTTGTGAAGTACACATTCGCAAACGATTTAGATCATTCGGATATAATAATAATCGATATTTTATTTAAAGTAGTCCATTAAACGTGACAATCACAAGTTGATGAAGAATGTTCAATGATGTAAAATTTTGAATAATTAACAAAGCAATTAAATTGAGTCGCGTGTAAGTATTAATATATTAGTCCAATTCGTAATAACTTCGTACCAGTTGATGCTCATTTAAGTGTCGAGCTCAAATTTGATTTATATTTTCTAAGTGTTGAACTATATGTTACTTTCTATTCATATAATATTCCCAGCAATGTTATAATGATCCGGTGGAGGTGAAATATATGAAATATTATGCTGTGTATCATAGTTAAAAAATTAAACAGCGTTTAAATACTACTAGTACTTTCAATATCGATACATATTGAAGCCAATAATAATTTTAATATTTTCAGTAAACTGTAATCGAAAAAATATTATTACTACTATGAAATTTTGATTCAGGTCGTACGAATTGGGTTTGTAGAACTTTGTATGCAGCTGGGGTGCTGGTAAAGACTAACTTAAACACTATTTTAACTGCTGTAACTCTTTAGCGCGGCTTGAGGTGATGTTGAAACGTGCGATTTTCGCTAAAATGTTTAAAATTACAATAAGTTTTATATCTCGCTATTACTTGACGCTTCCTTTAAACGTGAAATAGTTTCTTGAAATAACGAATATATACGGAAATGTTTCCACTATTTCTTGGGAATTTTATGGTTAATTTACATAAATACAATTTGCTTTTATTATTGTTATTTGCAGTGAAAGCAGAGCTTAACGATTTGGAGCAGGGAAAATTTTTAATATCTACAAATAAACAAACCACTCTTTTTCAGAATACTAAATCCTTTGAAGTACTTTTATTGATCTAAATACGCTTCACAATCATTCTGTGCAAGGGATTATTACGTGAGCTATTTTAATAATTTTGCATTGTTCCAAACTGTACACGCCAATTTGAAAAATTGATAAACCTCTTATAAAACTGAAATACAATAAAGCTCCTTTGTTACGTAAGTACTATATTATGTACAAAAATACTATTTTGAACTCAAGTATATAATTATTGAGAGAAATGAGATGTAATCATTTAAAGTAAAAATTAGAAAAGTTTCCTATACCTATACGTTTGTAATTTTATGAATTTAAAGTATCTTGTGACTTTTAAGCGTTGAAATATAGAGATTTATTTTTGTTTCCATACTTCATGGGTAACGATAAGTCAGTGTTTCTTAGGGATAATAAATAAATAAAAAAAAAATTGCTTCTTTATAAAAAATGTATATTAATAACAGTAGGGTACGTAAAAATGTTTCTTTAACCTTACTGTGTTATCTACTATAAGATGAAAATATTTACAAAGTTCCACTTGACTGTGTCAATATTTTACCGTTTCTGTTAAATTGCGTATTGATTATAAAAAGAACACTTTTGAAAATAGTGTTTTCCGAAAGTTCATTTCCATTTATTTAAACATTTTTTACATCAAATAATAGCTCGATGAATTAGATAAACAATTTTCACATGATTTGTTTTCAAAATATAATTTTTGAATATATGTAAGTATCTATGTGGTTGACAAATAAAATTAGTAGCACCCAGAATTGTTTCGAAGAGAGTATTAAAGACATGTTAATAAATCTTTAATAAAATTAATGCGAATTAGGCATTTATGTCATGAATACGATTATGAATATCAAAAAATTAATTATTATTATATTAATATATTAAGCACCTCTAAGATTTTTGTATTTTTAATTTGCCAATGAAACTACGAGTACATAAATTATTTTGTATAGCCAAAGATGGAAATGTTTATAATGAAGAAATATAATGTAAAATATTGTACAATATGAAAGCGGAATTGTGTAAAACAGAATTTGAAATGAGAATTTTCTTTGTAGAATAATTTGTTAGTCCCCCTATGAAATTCATGAATTAAAAAAAAATATTTCATCGCATATAAAATAAAATTCGTTAAATTCTAAGCTTTCAAGAATACTAAAATATCGTTCTATGAGCAAACATTTGAGTATTAAAGCGTATTATTAAGGCAATTAAAGATATAATTTAAATATTTGAATTCCTAGGTTTCCGTTTGTGCATTTTATTAAAACGTTTTAACACGAAAATCCCACTTTATTATTTAATATTCATAACTGACGCTTCTGAGCGCAATTGAGAAAAGTTAATAACATGCTAATAACAAGTTAATAACATATGCTAATAAAAGGAATAGATGAAAATGATAATTTCACAATTTCAAACTTAAAGTGGTTGGGTCAATATTAGAGTGCCGTTTCTATTATTGACTATTACCTGCAGTTTAGTCTAATGGTGAAATATTATATATAAATGAATAATGCCTGAGAGAAATTGAAATAAGTGAAATTTAATTCTATTTATATGCATTTTATTCATTTTCATTTAAATTCTTTTTAACAATATATGTATTTTATTATTTACTTTTAGGTAATTTACTTTCAATTCAACAACTTATTTTATGGGAATTGATTTCTAAAGTACCTACGGGTCAGTATGAAATTAGGAAATCATTATTTTTCTCCTTTATTTTCTACATTCCCAACTTTTTTAATTAAAAGTTTGGATTATAAAGAAAATTCCATTGAACCTTAGTAATTAAATTGTCATTTTAATAAAAACACCTTATAAGAAAGTCCTTGCGTGACTGAGGCTGATTTACCGTAAGAAATGAATGAAAAATCTTAAATTTACGTCAATATTACGATTCGCTTTTGAAATGAAAAAAGCTATTGTTTTTAAAAATAAAAAAGCTCACCTAAATAATTCAGAAATAGTAATTGAGTAGATTGTTACATACACCAAGGTAAAAAATATTACCTGTACTTAATTGACCAAAATATTTAATATTTATGGAATAAATAAGTATTGATTAAAACAGGAAGATATAGTAAATCCAATTTTTACCTATCACACCCTACGTTAGTAACGAGAAAATTAATTTTCATAATAGAAGTTGTGGTAAATGTTACCAATTTAATGGAACAAATCTCCGACAGTAACATTTTTAAATTACATATTCAATTAAACCTGGAAAACTAGGTATATGGAAATTCCATTAACTTTTAATTGAATTTAACTAATGGAACAATCTAAAAAATATTTAATTAAGATTATTATTGTATATTTTCCAACAAATTTCTTGTTAGTCGTAAAGCATATTACAACAACAAAATTAATTAACTGAAGCTGGTGAATTTATAAAACGAGAAGTTTATATATAGCAATGTGAAAGAGGTACTACCCTGAGGTATTTACAAACAATTAGTTTTAGCTTCTGTTTAGGAATTTGATTAATTAATTAAAAAGATTCCTCAACCTTAATTAATTGTTTCTAAAACTTTTTTAATCATAATGAATCAACTACTCTTTCAATAAGCTCAATAATTATGTATCAACAGAAAAATCAACTTAATCAAGTAAGTTATGTGAAAAGTTATTCTTTTTGTCTTGAAGAAGACGCATTTTCATTGCCTGCTTATGTGGCGAATCAAACATTGAAAGCTTTTATAATCAAGATGAATAGCTGTTCTCTAAAAAGAAAGGAAGTATTCATTAATAACCGATGTCAAATGAATTGTTTTACTTTCAGATACTCGAATATTTCCAACATTAACCCAAATAAAACGAATATCTCTCGTCGATTAATTTAATTATGCTACTTATAGACTTTGTTCAAATATTAAAAAGTGCTTACTAATGCAAAGTGCAGCTACAATGGACTATGAAATTTTAAAGCTGCAAAAAAACGTATTACAAGCGTTTTTATGGTGTATTTCCAAAGAAAAAAGAAGACAGTAAACACGTTGCTAAGCAATTACTTTCATTTCAACGGTAAACAGAAAACAGTTCATTAAAATCCAGCTGGAGCTTACAATTAAAAACTCTAATACTCCTCGGTCTGAAAGAAGATTTATTTTCATGAGACTCAGGTGAATGTTCCCGTCATATAAGGCGGGAAAGTGAGGAAAACCTCAAGTAGTTACGGCAAGTATTCACGGCTTTAAACTTTTATGTAATCTCGATTCAAAGAAAATTTAGCATTTATTGCTTACTTAAATATACTATTCGGTTATAATTACATTAAATTACATTAAATATAAGAAACTTAAGTGTTCATATGGGTATCCAACTTTTTCTGAGTTGCTACAAATGCTTTTAGGATTATTATTTTCCACAATAAGACCTTAAGTCTAATTAAAAAATACTCTATCGAGACCAGAAAATCGGTGGAATTAGTACAAATAAAAGAGATAATAATGGGTTCTTTACTTAGATGGTTTAGTGGAAAAGTCAATTAACAATCGATAAGTACAGAGGATATTAAAATTTTTATCGAAGAAACTTTTTCTATTCCATTATAGTTACTTAGGTACTTACATTTTTTATTGAAAAAATTAATACTTTTGTACCCTTGACGTTGAAACGGGTTGTAATCTGATATTTCTAAAAGAATATTTTACGTTTAATTTTGACGAAGCCGTTCCTGTGAAGAGCATATAGGTCATTCCTTAATGAGCGCACTAATACATTGACATGCAAGATATAAATTAGGAAAAGATGAAAAATAGCCTACGATTTTAGATTATCAGCACTTATTATCTCAATCACTTCTTAATCCAATGTAATATATTTCTTTTCGAAACATATTTTTCAAGTTAATTTCTCCATAAATTGATATAGCTGCAGAATAGGGTGAGTCGCGGTTAAGTTTATGTGCCTAATCAATTTAATTATTTATTTTTGATTTAGTTTAATGTCACAGTTGTGCCAATTTCACAAATGTACAAATTAGACAAAAAATAGAATTTCGGTTCAGTTAAATGGTTTGTCACTTACCTTATAAGGGCTTAAATTATCTACAGCGCAGTTCAATACAGCTTCTCTACCAACAGCTACAGTTAAATTCGAAACGGGGGATCTAAAACTTGGAGATTCTAAAAAAAAATAAGCAAAATTATTGATAACTTCAATTTATTAACGAACTACTTTAAATGCACGTTAGAGCAGGCGAATACAAAACAAAGTTGAATTCATGAATTAATCGCAGAATATCAAGTGGAGTAAGTTTTAGTCAACGGACAGGTTATTTGGACCTATTATAAAATTTTAAAAAGTTGAAAAAATTTAACCTTTAAGCTAGTCAAAGTGTAATAAAAAAAGTGGCCTTAGAGATGAAATGATAACAGAGTTTAAAAAACTTTAACAATATTTCTTGCTAGGTCTTATTCGAATTAGAGAACTGAAATGGAAAATATTGTAATTGCATTAGTATTTAAGTTCAACTAATATTATTAGTCTGTGAATGTTTTCTCTTGCATATTACTGCTTCGAAACTTCCTCCGTATTGTAGATTAATTACGTGAAGTCTTACAATCCGTTTTCTAGGAATGGAAAGAAAACTGAGATTTTATTCGCTCTCGTTAAGCTTAATTTTAATAATGGTAAATGGTTATTGTCTTTTTACACGATTACGCTTTCAGTGATATTTTCAAAAAGCAGTAAGTATGCGAAAATAAATTGAATTACTATTACTTTTTACATATGTATAGTATACCAAAATAAAACTGCTCTAATATATGGGCGCTTTTTGCTAGCTTAGGATTTTAAATGTCATTTACTGGGGATTTTAGATGTTAGTTTACATATCCTGCCTGTCGGACCAGATCCACTGTCTTTTTATTACTTCGTATTATTTCGCTTGAAGTTCGCTTGAGATTGAGATTATCTCATTTACTCAGCAAACCGTACACGCCATCTTGAAGCAATTTAATGTATTTTAACGATGCTCCACGAGACGGTGAATGATCTATTTGAACGAAGGGTATTAATTAGATATCAACACACGAACAATAATTATTTACAATTAATCGTATTTTAATTACATAAGATAATTAATGTCTAATTGAATTCTTATATTTTTTATACTCGGTTATCGAGTCTAATCTAGAGATAAAAAGACCGGCCCTAAATGAGATTTGAAACTTTTTAATAAATTAAAAAGCACATTAAATAATACCTGTTAGGCTTAAAGAAATACAAATGTGTCACTTTCTTCTTAACTAGATAAACAATGTCAGGGAAATTTTATATTTGAGATGTGTAAGCCTCGTCCAACTTTTCTAATTATCGGTTGGGGTTCTTTAAAACCCGAGACCTGTAACTCAGGTGGCGAAAAGAAAGTGCCGGTAAGTCCCTCGCTGCGTAAAATTTATTGGGAGATTTTGTCACTTAAGACTTCTTTTTTTCCTTTAAATTTTAAAGAAACTCGGGCGCCTGTTTTAAGGTCTGTCCGCATATATGATGACAAAATTTTTTAGCGGAAGAAATTTTTCCAGAAATATTAACCGACATAAACACCCGACCAAGTAAAACACATTAAATGCATTGCATTTTCTAAAGTGCAGTTTGGAACTTGGGGCATAAAATTTTAAGTTTATACTACTACTTACTGTATGTTTCTGTGCCAATAGCACTAACATAACCTAACGTAACGTTTCTTTTTAGTATTGAAGAACTTATATTAAAAAATTTATAGAAATACAAGCTTTCCTTCGTTTAAATTAGAAAGCTTTTAGATTTTATTGATGTAGTAATTAATTTCAATTTTAATTACACGAGTTCATATTTATTGAATATTTTACTTATCAGTAGTACTGCTAGTTGAATTAGTACCAAATATTGAAATTTACAAAAATATTTTTATCATAAATATATTTATTGTTTTTTATTGATTTACTTATGTGAAACTTTATGCTTCATAATTTCAGTTTCATTGTCATTGAAATCTGAATTAGATATATATGTATGTACTTATTTATTTATTTATAGATAGTTTTCAAGTAGCATTAACAATTCATCAGAAAATTAATTAAAAATATACAAAGAGTTACAGATAGGTAGAAATCAATTCCGGGAATACGAAATACGGGTAACATATAATTTTTACGTAATCGATACGGGAGTTCGTAATAAAAGATTGAACTGTTGACATGTTCTGAAAGTTATACGCCGACTTGACATTTAGAGCGTGCTGAATAGAAATAAGGTACTTTTTTTATGAATATTCGTGTGATATATCTCTATATCTCGCGGATATATGTACAACAAATATTGCCCAAGAACGCGGAATATTGAGAACCGTATGGCTAAAAAGATTTAACTTCAAATTTTTGAAGAATAAAGTACAGTACATGTGTGATAAAAATATCTAATATAATATTTTAGCATCTAACTGGCTTCGATATTTTCAGCGTTTCAAAAATTGGAAAATCTTATTTTTGAATGACGTTGACACTTTGTGAAAACGTTAAAAATAAACTAGAGTGTGCTGTAATAATTATTACTTTGCATAGAAAATTTCTAGTAAGCTACAGTAAAATGATGTACTTATCGGTTTTGAAAGCTTATACACCATGAATAAATAAAATGATAGGCAGAAAGCCAATAACTTACCATATTTTATATTCGCCAAAAGGTTAATGTTTCAAAAGATGAAGTAAATATTTATAGCAGAAATATTTTAACTAAAAGTCCAATTCACAAAATTGTGTCAATTTTTCTTTTATTATAGTAGTAGCAAAATGATAATGCATAAATATTCATATCAGTAAGTAGGCATTGTGCATTTTAAAATTATTTTCATATCATCGTTGGAACTTCTATTCTAATTTATACTCCCGGAATATTGCGTGCTTTTGTTGCTCATTATATCGCACTTTAGCTAGTATGAGTTCCTGTCTAGACATTGGCAGATTAATGGGAAGGCAAGAAGATACGGAATGAATTCGAAATATTTGAAAATAGTCAATTCCTATCACATGAATTTATTTTTCATGCGAATTTTTACACTTCTATGTTGATTAGAAGTGTATAGCCAATGTGTAGGAATTCTTTTATTAATTTATATTTCCTTAGGGATGTTCTCGAAAGTAAAGTTTGTGTAACATTTTTCATCACCTGGTAAATCCTTTCTTTCCCCATTTTTATTATAGCGCTGCAGGAAGGTTCTAAGAATAATGTATTAAGGCACATGAATGGAATGGGCCGTTACTTCTACAGAACGAAAATCGCTTTACAGTAAACATTTGCATAACTCCCAAGTTAAATTTTTATTCCATTTAGGATTTAATGAAAGATGAAATACGGACGGTTTAAATTTGAAATGAAGAACATCTAACTCCAAAATCCATTTACTCAATTGGAAAATGTAAAAAATCATTTCCTCTACTTCATGACTGTTGAAACCTTTTAGAATTTTTTATTTTGTTATGAATAAAAAGTAATTTCCTCCCTCTTAGCAAGGGTTTTGGCGAAATTAGCGAAGGATTTACCAAAGGATAACTTTGCCGACGGGATTAAGAGAATTGAGATTTTTACTTTTTTTAATATTTCACTTAACTTTATGAATACATTTCCATTAAATAAATGAAGATATTTAAAATATTTATAACCCACAAATATGCTATATAGGGTGACAAGAAATTATTGCGACCTTTTTTTATAGGGTTGGTATAAGCGTTTTGAAAAATTAAAAAATTGTAAATGAGAACATGGAGTTTTCTCACAATAAAACGTACCTAACGTAGGTATTTATTATTTTGGCTTATTTTCGGAGCGAGACTTTGAATTTTAATGATCCTCATCGAGCCATGAAATATCCTAATCAAGCAACATTCGTTGAAATGTTTCCCAAATGGATTAATTAAAATAAAAAAGAGTACACACCATTTTTACATCCAAAGCCTAAAAATAGTATATAACAGAATAGTTAATAGCAAAAATATAGCAAGCCTTTAAAAAATCGTCACAATCATTTCCAGCCATCCGAAATGCTGTATTTATTTTTAATTAAGTAGGTATAATCCATGAACATTTATTAATAAAAGCGTAAAATACTAGACGGTGGTTTTGCAATTAAGTGGTCCTCCGCTGGGAAATGTAATCGAGCCTTATAGGCAAGTTTTTCCAGACTATCGCATCGTTAGTCATACTAACCTAATATTTCTTCATACAGCCGTAATTTTGAATTTATTTTTCGCTATTCCTCTGTATTCCATTTTTAAGCGAAAGAATTACAACATTTCGAAATTGAGGACAATATACTGCGATGTGGAAAGCAGCACAGAAGAGCTATTATTACACTAGTTGATGTAAAATTATCGCAGATTATTTCCATTTAAAGCCGATCGGTTCAATTATGAACATTTTTAAAAATTCCTAGTTTTTACGACTTCATTCGATTCGTTATTGACGGACAATTTATAATGGAACTTGCGATCGCAAAGGAAATATTTGCATTTTTTCAAAACGCGGTAATGTCAATGTCATATCGTGATTAACTAGAATAAATACACTCTATCATTCAATTACACAACCCGTATCGGCTTTGGTATAGAACGTCTACATTTTGCTCTTTTATTATAAAACGGATTAGTGGAGCAGTTAATTAACAAAAAAATAGGATTGCTGATTCAGAAACTTCGTTAAATTTGTTTACACTGGTTACTGAATAACCATTTAAATTACTCTAAACTTCTTTTCTATTTGAATGGAAAACTCCTGCGAATTATTTTAAATACCGTCAATTATAGTAAATTAAGAACATAAGCACTTCTTATGTATATTTTAATGAGAGTGCAATTATTGCAATTTGTTTCAAGTAAGTGTAAATCAAGTGTTTTAACAGCAACTGTAAATGTAGCAGTTATTTTCGACGTTCAGTAAATAAATAAATAATAAATTCCGATCTTGATATACGCTTTTTTTATTTTTCAATGATTGAGAACAATAGTAACATTCCCCTCTGGCCAATGTTCGTCATGTTTAGATCTCAATCGGAATGATGGATTATTTTTAATGTGCAGAAGATTTTGCATATCGATACAGCACAGTCATTAAGCAACTCAATTTTAATATATAACATAGGAAATGTTTCCGAATTTGCTGATATCAAAGGAGAAATCTATATTAAAAGTATGTTAGAAGGCTGCTCATATTGCTTAACTAAATAAGAAATAAGCTTTGTATTGAAATGACAAATTTGTTCTTTTTAAGTAACTCATGTATTAAGGGAAATTAATTTAAACTTTTTAAATTAAAATCTTGAGAACCGTATAGAATTTATTTAGGTTCATAAATTAAAAACCAAATTTAGGACATAAAAATTAGAATTTAATAAACTTGCTCTCCATAATTCTTGGAAATAGTTATTAAAAGAACACACATTAAACAAACATTCTTTGATGGGGTAATTTTTTATGGAATCGCTCCAATTCATTTTTAATATATATGTATGTGTATGTTCATTCGTTTTATTAATTGGAAGACAATCAATTAGCGATATTCATTTTAGTCAAGAAAAGAAAAGTCATGGTCAATCAAATAGGCAGTAAAAGCATATCCAAATTATTCTACTTATAGTTTATATTCCTTCCATGTAACTCATAGTAATATCGTAAAATATATTTAATAGAGCTATTTCCTGGTAATTATTTCAACCTTTTTTTAGGTTGTACGCGTAAATTTTCTTCTTGCTAAATATACCCTATACATAGTTTCACAGCGGGTTAGTTTATTTTTAACTTCTGGTTAATAAAATGAAACGCTACGTAATTAAATCGTTACAGTTAAAAATGTACGCAATTGAATTACTTATAATTAAAAGAATCTATATAATCGATTCAAACCGTTTTAATTGGGAAATTTAGTAAATTGATTGCATTACGAGTACAAATATTGGCGGAGGTTTATTTTCAACTTTTTAAATTCACAATTCAAAATTTTGGTGGAATGCAGGTGTATAGGTAAAAACACCAATATTTTAATTAATTTGAAATATTGAATTAAATTGAAATATGTATGTATAATATGGATATTCACGTAGGCGCTGTATTTTTGAATTTTGTTTTGATTCAAACACAAACATTTTAACATTGAGTATGTATTAATCTGTTGTTTTTTACTTCAACTTTAATTCGAATTATGCTTGTTGCCAAGCGCAATTTCGAATCTCCACTCTTTTGTAAACGGCAAAAACGTTGGTTGTTATTTTTTTAGTTTGTTTGCTCAAATGCAATGGCGTAACTACAAACGAATAAAATTATAAAGCTCCGATTTAGTTTCACATTTTCCTTTAATATATACCTATGAAGTTCGCATTGCAAAAAGTGAAAAAGCACAGCAAGATTTAGTTTCGAAAAGGGTTGAGTTAATTTCATATTATTTATGTGTCCTCTGCAATTGTAAAATTGGAGCAACATTAACTAACGCAATTTATCAATGTAAATAAATATACGTTAAAGGTCTTTATAAAAATGGCAAGATTTATTATGTTGAAGTCAAAAAAATTTCATTTTAATATACCTAAATTTTTTATGTAGAATTTGCAAACTACAGCAGAGAAAATAAACCTCACTTTTTAGATATTATTCATGATAAATGGTTCATGCTTTATGAACATTCTTCATTAATATTACTCCTAAAAATAAGGCAACGAAAGCTGATGTCTAAGAAAAGATTTTGACAGTAATTCAAATCCAAGACCAGAAATAACATAATAAAATCGTTATACTTTTATTTCATTTCATTCTTAAAGTTATTAGGGTAAGAAAAAATATTAACATAGTATTAAAATGTAAATTTCGTAACGCTACTGATTGCGAGCCCCAAAATCGACAGTAAAAATATGAAGTGATATAAACAAAACTTCGACATCAATTGAGTTATTTACGAACCGTTTGATTGAAGGGATTTATTCTATCATATTTTTAAGGGGAAAATAATGTTATTTGGAAACTTCAATAAAGAAAATATTCTACACTTCACACAAGGCTTGTTCCTTTTATGCCCCGAGTTTTCAGTTTTTAAATGTTTTCTCCAAAGTTATAAATCTTTTTTGATGTTACGAATAAGCACCTATAAAATTAAAATAATGAGTCTTAGAAGTCTTACAAATTAATTAAAATTAATCCTCATGGTTTGTACAGTGCAATGTGATTTGCATGGATATTTATATAAAAGTTGCATGTAAAAAGACTATATCAGAAACACGTAAACGTTTTCAGAAACAATAAATAACATTGATTTTAAAACTAAAATACTTAAGCATATATAAATATTAACCTTTTTCTTTAATCGAAAAATATATTAAAAGAGCATTTTTACATTTTACTCTTATAAAGGCAATTTGAAATCGAAATTTCTCCTTAATAAATTAATTTTAGCTAATTATTTTCCGTTCCAATGCTATATAGGCTATTCAATTTAATCAAACACCCAATACAATGAAACAATCGGGCACCCATTAAATTTTCTATTCTCTTTGTTTTGGCAGGTGAAAAGGGAATTTTCCTGACGCTGAGTAGTTTACGTTTGTTTATAAGCAGGATTATTTTATATAGCAATGTCACAAATCAAGCGCTCGGAGTTAACATACTTTTTTATTATTCAAAAATACATAATTGAATAAAAGAATTCTTCTTATTATTTATGGGTTTAAATCCGTTTTCTGTTAGTGATTTCTATTCAAGATGCAATATTTTAACAAAACATTCATAATTTTTTATCACAATACAAAAGTCAATTCATTTTAGCCGAACTCTTAATATAATAAATAATAAAACAATCGAGGACCCTATCGAATCTACCACTCTTTGTTTTGAAAGGTGAAAAGGGAATTTTACGGATGCTGCGAGTAATTTAATGCAGGGGTTATTATAGGTACTTAAATAGCGGAATACATTTAAATATTGAAGTATTTTTGAATACTATATCAATTTAAATAACTTTCATTGTGTTAATTTCTATAATCATTTTAAAATTTTTACAAGATTTAAATCAGAAGATTTTTACGTAAACTTTTAACGAAATATTAAAAGTTTCTTTAATCCTAATTAATCACAATACCACTTGACGTTGAATTATAAATAAAAATTTTAGAAATAATTTTAAGTTGCGCTAGAAAAAAACTTGGCGAGTTCTGCAAAACTTTTGCGCTCGCAAATTAAATTGCAAAAACGAGTTAAAAGCGGAAAAGCGGCCGGAATGAAAAATCTACATGAAATTGCGTGCGTATAACGATTTGAAATTAGCTGGATTCTCACCTAAAAGCGAAGACACGGAAGATGTTGGCATCACGGAGAGAATCGCAATTACGAAAAACAACACATTTCCACGTGTCTCCTCCATAGAGCTGTACATGTGTCTTCTGCAGCATGTCGACTGACGGCAGAGAAACGGCGCGACTTGGCGCCGGTGTTTAGTTCCGGAACGGTTCTCGAACTGCGCAGGCTTTAAATTTTGATTTCTTAAAAGGATAGGTTACACTCTTATTAATTTACTATGATAGAACGCAGCCTGAACGCAAATTTCGTGCTTGGCTGCATACCAAACGTTCCTAGTAATATATTTTCTCCTTTTTTGCGATATTTAGTGTTCCTAATTCTTATATATCGCTCTTTGAGGATTGCTCACGTCTGAGCTTTTTAAAGTCGTTAAAAATGAAGAGAGCCCGCTGGTCGCTTATGGCTAATTGGCGCATCAAGTACATTTCTTTGTAATTTCGTTTCGTCCTATCAAAAACATTATTCTTATCGACCATTAAAAGTGTGAAGTAATTGTAATATTCTCATATTACTTTATTCATTTTTTTCCCACTATTACATTCGTAAGTGCTCAATACTCAATACTAAGTGCTGCGTAATCAGATAAGAGTTGTTGTTATTTCTTAATGTAATTTCAAGCTATCGGATTAAATTAAACATCCAGAAACTATTGCAAATTACCCTAAATTCTCATTACTTATCACATTATTGATGATTTAAATGTGTATAAAACTACTTATTGTTAGGTAATTATCGTCTATCAGTTCGTCTGCAAAGCGGGTCTTTGCAGCCCCGTAACCACCTAGACTAGATCATAGGATCCTCTGTAGTCTCCCCTAGTAGTTTACCACGTGGAAATTAAACCAGACAGGTAGACCGCAAATTAGACCGGCACCCTTTCTTATACATTATCCTGTGTTCTTCTACCATTGTTGTTCAGAGCTTTACCGAATGAGCGAAACTCATGCGTGAAGCGATCATTTGTTAAAATTTTTCAAAATTTGATGCGCAATTTTATTAAATATTTTACCTATATTGATACATGAATGTTTGTTTTTTTTTATTCAAGAAATTTCCGTTGGAGATTTTGAATAAGCACATTATACACGGAACTCCTGTGGTGCGTTTCTATACCCGAACGATAAATTCTTTTTAGACGCTGACATGTTTTGCAACTGCTTCCTAAATTAAAATATACAGGACAAAATTGTTGTTTAAAGTAAAATATCACCAAGAAATTATGTCGAATATGAATTCGAAAAAATGATATAAGCGAAGTAATTTTCTTGTGTATTAAAGCAAGCGCCGACTCGTAGATGTTGAATGTACGAACCGTGGTAAAAGCAGGACGAGAATGACACATTAATCAGAATCATGGCACACTATATGGATTCCGAATTGTACAGAAAGGTTATTGTTTTGTTTCTCTTGTTCCGGAAGAGACTGCATGACTGATACAAGCATAAATCGAAACAGAATTCCGCTCTTGAAATTAAATGTCATATGCGGGTATTTACCAGTAAATTGAAGAACTCTATACGCAAAGTCAATTTTCTGGGCTATCCTGTTATTTATCTCTTTTGCTACGCCGAATATAAATGGCAAGGTATCGCTTCGCGGCGGACGTAAATGTGCCACCAAAAAGGGATTTATGCCTACTCAAAAATTATGCTTGCAAAATTGCCCATATAAATACTCCACTGTTTTTTATTGATTTCGTGTAAACCGAGGATATATTTCCAATTCAAAAAATTTTAATTAAAAATTCGCGTTTTAGATAATTCGAACGGAATTATGTAAAATTCAATCTTCGATTATCCTTGCCTAACAATGCAACTTAAAGTTTTAATGCTGAAAGTGAAAATTTGTATGCTAGAAACATTGAGTAAATAAACTGCATTATAACTTATACTAAACTTAATAATCGATATCTACTTCATAATTTAGGTGCATCAAGTAAAAAGAAGCAAAGAGACAGGAAAGTTAACGATGGACAAAAATTAATTGCTTGCTGATATTTCGAAGTTAATATTAAAATGATTTGGTTAATTAATTTTAAAAACTTTTCGTTCCAAAAATAAATTCTTCAAATTTTCTTCTAATTATAGCAATAAGCAAATATACGTTATTTAATTAAGGCGTAAAAAAAGTTATATTATATTCAATTATATCATTAAATATATTTATTAAAAATTAGTAGTTAAGAGAGGAAAAAATATACATTTAATATTAACCAGGTAAATTTTTTATATTCTCCTCCCCAAGTGTAGTTTTTAATTTTTAATTCTTGTTTTTATTAATAATTCATTTCAAAATGGATCGACCGTGAAACGGAATTCAAGGCAGATTTTGTATAAATCTAATTAATATTAAGCCCGATTAAAAAAAGAAAAATAAAAAATAACTTTTAATGAAGTTGATATTAAAAACACATATTTTAAAATAAATAATTGACATATATTTTTGAATCTAATTATGATGGACGTATTTACTTATATTTCGCAATTTAGAAAGAGCAGGGACCATTCGGGAGATTTCATGCTACTCTCCCACAAAACCAACCCCTCGATAATAGATCATTATTCTATATTCTCTAGTGTCCGATTTCGTTTGTTGAGATTCCAACTTGATAAAGTAGGTATCCATTTATAAAACTGTCAAATAAAAGGAAAAAGTACGATAACGTTTTCTTACAAAAACAAAGAAAAGTCCATATAACTTCGTATATTTCATTCAATATAAGTCTTTTTGCAAGGTTAAAAACTTTTGTGTATCATATTTGAAAAATTAATTGCTTTAGATTATTACTCGATACTTCCAATGTTTATAATTTATACCTAAAAAAATATTAATTAATCGTTTAGATCACACATCAAAATAGTTTTCCATTTCATTGCTGGAAGTTTGGTGTCTATATTAAGAAAATCTTAAGAGTTTAAACATAACAGATCCTGAATTGTGAAATTAGTTACACTTTCATGAAAATAAGAACGGCATTTTATGTGCATGCATCTATTATTAGTTCCTGAATAGTATAATAGTAAGCATGTTAACCTGAAATAATAAAGTTCTTACTTAATTTTCTCAAGATTTCGATTAGCTAGTACCGACATGCAATGTATGCGGGCAATTAAGGACCGAACCAAAATAGTGTCAACATTTCCTCTCAATCAATGTAGATTGATTATATCGAAGGAGTAAGGCTATCCCATAATATTACACCCAGCGGGATCACAATTAACGTTCCTCCTTCCCCGTTGATCAAACACCGGATGACAATCAATCTAGTTGGCGCCTTGTTGAACTCAACACGGGCAAGTGACTCCACAATAAATCATAACTTTTAATTACGTGACCTTCTCATATTTCATTAGCTAATGGAAGTAATAGAATGGATAAACTTTTCATTTGCCGGTGAGTAATTTGTCGCTACTGCCACAGCTTTTTTTAGAGTCTGCCCTCCGCACTGCTCGGAGCTTCAGCGATTTTATTTACGTTTTACCCTTGTAAGACGAATTTTTAATATTTTAATTAACAGAGCAGGCATTAATTTAAATCCTGCAACTGAATTATCCACCTGACGAAGTACATTATTTCATTGTATTTATTGTTTCAGAGGAACATTTTGACATGAGAAACATCTAATTAATTATTGAACTTGAAATGGAATTTGCTTGATGGAAAATGAAGCTTGGAAGTAAAATAACATAATTTTGTACCAGTCGGTTTTTTTACTTATTTTAAGAATTTACTCCGAGAGATTTATGATGGAAAATTTCCCTCAGCTTGGTAACAGAACATGTTATAATCCTAATTGTATGTAATTAAAAAAATGTGTATATAAAAATGAGCATTCAGGGGTCTTGTTAAGAGATTATTGAACTGGGAAAATAACAATTTTTAAAGTAAGAATTCGTTTTCGTGAGCACGCTTGAATATCTAATAAATGCATTTTAGTAGCTATACTCACGCATTCGGCTAGAACTTCGTGTCATTGGCAATTCACCGTGGGTGTAAAAATATCAAGGATAAATTAAAAAGTGTAATGAAAAAGGATCTTTTCCTGTTTCTCATAATTTCCATTAGAACCGAAAGTAAATTTGCCACCGAGGTGAATAAATGTAGTTATCCCCTTTATTATCAAATATTTACGGCTCATTTAAATAGCAGATTTTCCCTAGTCGCTATCTAAGTACTTCATTAGAAACCGGGGTGGAGAATTGTGAGTTGCTAAGTTATAGCAGTTCTGATTATCGGTAATCTTAATGAATGCCGCGAACAATAGACCGTGAGACTCATGTAGAGTAGCCGCAAGAACATAATGGTCCCAAGAGGAGGTGTAAATGAGTAAAGGAGGGCCGGCAGACCGGAACTCTTCAGCCGAGTCCCGGCAGACGGTAAATCATCTATTTCATTCTCCGCTGAAATGTCTGTATTGTAACACGAGGCCGGGTTCTGCTTTTAATCTCCGCATCTATAATATTGAATTCTATTGTTGGTCGCATTATTTATGCATATTGTTCTAATGGCCACTGGGTAATGAATATATATTATTTATGATGTATTATATTTTAATTTAATCACTACACTCGCATTAAAATTATTTTACATACATAGGTACTTAGAATGCAGAAAACTACTCAATTAAATTAATTTATTAAAGACTAATAATAACAGTCAAACTCCTTAAAAAAATTTACGAACTTTCGTCCTAACTATAAAAATTATTAAATTAAATTTACAATTAAAATTACTAACTAATGATAATAACATCATCAATAATAATGAACTCCTGACAATGTTATATTTAGCCTTTTGGTGTCCAATGCTGTATAGCTATAGTTATGAAACCTTTGCAAGGGTTGAAAGATCTATCTGAACGAATTCAATAATTTAGCAGCGGACGAAGTTAAAACAGATAAATCCATTTAACCAAATTATTCTATAATTGGCAAAAACCTTTATATGTATACGTTACTTTTGCAGGGGTTCTAAATTATTTTTATTTTCAACACTTGCACTTATCTAAGCAAAGTACATAGAAAATGCGTAAGCCTAATTAAAAATGGTTCTATTCCATACATAAATTTTATGATG